TTTTTTTTTTTTTTTTTTTTAAGTATAAGCCCAACACTATCATTCTGTGTTTAAATAAAAAAGTGCATGATTATATAGAAAATGCCACATGTGGAAAAACACCGTGTGTTGAAATGCTGTTTCCTCCCTCCCCTCTAACTTGCCTTCCTCCCTTTGGAAACTGACTCAGCCTCATGTTACTCCTGCATAGTGTTTAAGGCTCCTATGAGTTGCAGATAAAAAAGGATGTATTTTAATTAGTAGAAAGGAGGTGATTCACCTTTCAGTGTGTAAATAGATGGAAGTGTCTACAGGGTCTTATCTGCTTTTCTGTCAGCATTTATATTAAATGATAAATTAATGGCTTACACATTTGAAATATCTCTCATTTTCTCTCTGCATTGTGAGCCTCTTGACTACAGATTTTTCTCCAGAGCAATATATAATCTTTCCTGACCACAGTGGAAAATTAAGTGCCGGACAAAAGCACAGCACCCTATGTCCCCTTTTTTAAGTTCCCTTTCCTCCCCTATACCTCCTTTCCTTCTCTGGTTGCTAAGACCAGAAAGCTTGCTCAGTGCTAATATTTAGTATGAATCCTTTCTTTTTCAGTTAAGTGGTTTCCTTGGTGAATATAAGTGCCTTTTGCCCAGACCTAAACAATAGAGTAATCTTTAAGTGACTCCTTTTATTACTTGTTCCAGAAGCCTGCACTTTTAAAAGGCCTGGGACAAACATGCCGCTTCAAGAAGCACTGGAACATTTTACCTGTTACATTACGCTTTTTTAGAATGAGGGGAGTTCTGGCCCCAAGCCTGTTGTGCATGTTTTGATATTCTCTTTCTCTCCTCACCCTTGTCCGTTGTCGACATTAGATGGCCTCAGTTGAGTGCAAACTTCAGCCCTTTTGAAGTACGAGGAACATCAGTTGTGGAACAGGTAGCAGCTTCTTCACCGAAAGTTCTGCTTTGCCCACCCCTTCCCATTCAGGAAAAGCCAAGTGTGGCTCCCTCAGTGTATGTTTCCCCCAAGATGACCATCTTCCTGTCTAATGTGCAAGTTTCTTAACTATGGAGCCAGTCGGTATGGCTGCATCACCATCCTGTTTGTTCATAACCTTAATAACAGTTGAGCTGTGTAAGCTCTTGTAGGGTGCATAATGTTTACGGTGCAGCGCAGTGTGTCGTCCTGCTTTCCCAAATAGTTTGTGGGCCCCAGAGTACTGCAAACACTGCAGTGGTCTGAAGAGTGTGGGTGTTTGCACGTGCACTGTTTTCACATACTCCAAATCAAATGGTGAGTTTGGTCACTTAGGAAGGCAGTGATGGCTGTTCTGAAAGACTGGCAGCTTTCATGTTTAAAATGCTTTTGACACTTGACTTGGTGGCAGTGAACATTTATTTTCCCCATTTTGTGGGTGTAGCGATTAAGGCAGAAGATTTGATAGGGGCAAGAGTCTTATCAAGATGGGACCTATGTCACAGCAAACTAAAGTTAGGAATCCAAGTTCTCTGCTGTAGGAACTGGGTCTGCCTACAACTCTCTGCAGATGTCCAGCAAAATACATCTATGGCATGAAACACCATTGAGCATGGCCACCATTTCTACGGCCTCCTCAGACAACCTCAGATGCTTTTTTCTTCCTTCTCTCCAAAAGGAAGGACAGACAGCCTTACAGGTACATTCAGATGCTTTCTCCCAAATTACTCTGGGTGGCTTGCAGTTCATTAGAGAAACTGATCATGGCTCCATTGAAAGAACCCAGTTTTCAGATTTGGGGGTTGGGGGGAGGAACTACAGATACTACACTGCCTTAAAGACTACATTTTCCCCTCTCTGATATCACTAGGGCCATGTATATGGGGAACAGAAGGGTGGCCCTATGCAAAGCCTTGTGACACTAGACTAGGCAATCCTAAGTGAATGGTATACAGACTTCCCAACAAATGAGAATGGTACTGGGAGAGACTTGCAACATCCCTCCCTTGGACTGAGCATAAAAGAGACCTTACTTAATGGCAAATAATATGGCTGATACCTCTTGCTCTAAGCTCCTAAAGCACTAAGGACTGCAAAGAGGGGTCACTTGCTTGAAAATTTTAAGATGACTAGTGCAACAAAGCACCATTACCAACTTGAGGATACATATTCCATCATGACAAAGTTACTTGCTCCACTGACCCAAACAGAGCAACTAGCAATGTTGTTGTCGATGCATTTTTCATATTGGATGCCAAATCAGTGTGCCATCCGGGGATGCGAGTTTTGTGGATTCTCTGCCTCCATTTGCTATTTAAAAAAAAAAGGGTGCTAGGCACCTGCCACTTAAAAAAATCAGTTTTGGGGTAGAGCAGGGCTTGAGTTGCCCATATATATGTTACATGGGGTAGACTAAATGACTCCAAGTCTGTCTGGCCTGTGCACTGGAATTTTGGAGTCCTACAAAAATTCAGCAGCTTTGCTGCGGTACTAGCACTGGATTTTGTATCCACCACCAATGATCCAACACCCACTGGAAGAAATCAGGACATTTTTGTGTATTTCAATATGCATTAAGTCCATCTTTTTTTCCCTTTGCTATAGGGTCAGTTGGAAATTCCTCAGTCATACCAACCTAATTCCCTTGTCCAGTGGGAATCTTCATGTCCAGTGAATACCCACTGGAAATATGTGGAGAGGAGCCAAGATGCATGATATATATATATATTTGGCTACACTAGAAATGTTTTAATTTGCTGCAGTCTTGATTAAAAGGTTTGCAATGGTCAATGGAGGCCACTAATGTCAAGGGTTCTCAGTCCGACTGGTCTTCTCTAAATCTTTAAGACCTGATGCTCAGCCTCTTGGAAAAAATATCTGGTAGCCCTTCGGAGCCCACTTTCTAGGTTACCTCTGCTAAAGTAATCCAGCAAATAGCATGCCGCACCACTTCTCTTGGGGGAGAGTTTTAAATCAGTGCATGTAAAAGGGTGATCTGTGAGTTGCTCGCTTGCCTGACAGCATTATTCTGGTTTGTCTGGTTTTTTTTTTTTGGCCAAGATCTCCCTTTTGGCAGGAGTGAACACAACTGTGATTCCTGAGACACTGGTTTCTTACTTGCAAAACTAGGTGTGTTTCTGGTAGTATCTGGGGAAATAGCTTTTGTGGCTTTTTTGCTGGCCTTTGATGTGAAGACACTGCTGATTACAGCACTGATACTTCATGGCAAAAATGGGGCTGTTAAATGATTTACTTTGGGGTGGTATTGGGGGTAGTGACTTCTCATCAGTCATTACCTTCAATGCTTACTGTTCTGTTTTGTCAGCAACTTTTCCCAATGCGTGTCTACACACCCCTTAATGCATGGTTTAACAGCCACTATTTTTCAGCTATGTGCACTACAGAAAGTGACTGGGCCTAGTACAGAACCCAGTAGCCCTGCATCTCATCATCAGCAAGAGAGGGATTTTTTTTCTGGCCCTGAAACTTAAGCACAACCCCAACCAAACAGCTCTTTTATTTTTCATAAAGTGGTGATTGTGATGTTAAAATTACAGAGGAATTGCATCTGCAATCATTAAGTTACATTTCTCAACACAGCTTTCATCGGTGCTGTTTGTGTATAGTGGGGTATCATTATCTTCAGCTTATTAGGTGCACACTTGGCGGACAGGAGCCGGTGAAGGCAAAGAATGGCGATCTTGCCTCTGGTGGTTTTGGGAGAAGTAGGGGAGAGAGTTACTAGCCTGAGCTACAGAAGACCAAAATGTCTGGAGAAAGGTGTTTTCTAAATCTGTATTTGAATTATTGAACATTTCTCCCATTGTTTTATCAGCATGGGGGTGGGGGCAGCAGGCCTGCAGTTTGCCTAGAGCAGTTGATCAAACTTTCTCTCATCAGACTGAACTTCAAAACTTCTCTCAAATTAAACATTGCTCAACCTTCCCTAGCTGGTCATCCACCTTTGACCCCTGACATCCCACTCCACCTCCTACATTCCCTTTGAGCTCTGGCTAAGTGTACAAACTCAGTGTGGAAGCTAGTACTGACTGGTTTGGACTCCCTTTTATTTTCCCTGTTTTAAAGAAATCCTGTTTACTATCTTGCACTGCTGCTCACATCCTCAAGGGAAAGCATTGGAGACACTAGAGGCAGGTAAGAGGACTTAAGTTCCAGTGATGTTCTCATGTTTGTTAACCCATCTCCACATGGATTCATTTCCCTTTGTGGGTACCTAAGAACCCCTCACCACTACTTGTGTTGTATGTTTGTGGGAGTCCTGGTTTCTTAGTGTGTTTGATGCTATGGCTCTCTTTTTGTAGGGTTCTGCCTGGATACCATAGATCTAGGTTGTCATGTCTTGCTTGCTAGAACATCTGCAAAATCTTGGTTTTGAGGAACCAATTCATAGAGTGGGAAGCAGGTCATGTATTAGGGATCCTTACAACTTTCTACTGCCCAATATTCACTTTTTTCTGCCTCACTTTAAAGGACATTCTGGGGGGAGTCCCAGAATACGTCCCAGAAAGTGAACTTCATACACCAACTGAAACTCCTCATATCAAAGCTTACTGGACTCAAGTAGCTCCCCTGGACATAGGCTGGAGAGAACTGTATACCGAGTCCAACAGGTCACGCTTGCTAGCAAATTAGCCATAGATTTATGTTCAGAGTCAAGGGGTTTTTTTTGGTGATATATAGTTGGGAGAGCTGTTTCAGGCATCAGGCACCCCTCTGGGCTGTCTAACAGCACTCCCTACTATACAGTTGATCCAATAAAAGATGTAACAAAAAAGCCTCATCTCTGTTTCCTGGACTGCCATGGCTACAACAACCTTCCAACCTCCATAGGTTTATAACCCTAATGCCTGTTGCCCTTTGTTAAGAGAGAAGAATGCTGAGCAAAAGTAACTACTACAGCAGTGGGAAGAGACTAATGCTTGCAGCCTGACTCTGGCACGTACCGCTTGGGGTTGGAAGGAACTGGTGCTCACTATGCTTCGTTCTGGGTGTTGACTTACCCCTAGGATTCCTTTTACCAGAGACCCCTAAGGATTGACATGATACCAAATCGGATGAGGGGCCAAGTGAACTTTTAATAGTAACCCCTAGGCTTATTACAAGTATTCTTCCTTGCAATACGACCTGGCAAGCCATTCATTCAGGTTTTACAGCAGTGACCTCTGGTGGTACAGGCCTCGGAGCTTCTGCTGGGCATGTGGGATGTTAGTTTCTGGATTCCTCGTTGTTCAAACAAGAAGTCCAAGGTTGCTTCTGTCCCCCCAGGGTGGCAACACAGAATACACTTGTGTTCCTTTGTTTGTTCATCACTTTTGTAACTACTCTCATCCCAAATTGTCCAATCCCTTGGCCCTGTGCTAAGCATTCCTTATATGGTGCACCAATCCCCTGGCACTGTGCTAGCCACATTCCTTATAGGGAAACTGCTGGCCCTTGCTCGCCTGCTGCCCACTCTCAGCCCTCACGTCTCCCCGCACCACAGAAGGCACTCAATTGTGTTGCTTAGTTCTGGAAAGGCCTGGACTATGGCTAAAAGCCTTAGCATAATTCAGTTTGCCTGCTACATTGACTATACTGAGCTTCCCTATTAATGATGCAGGAGACTGCCTGAAATTGTGCAATGTTGAGGTGACTCAGTAGTTCACTGCCTTCCTCCAGGACTGGGTTAGAAAGAAAGCTTTTTTTAATCTGCTGTATGTACTCCATTCTCTTGCCAGAATCCAGTCAACATAAAAGCATTATAGGCCTTTCTAAAACACTTAGTCCTGGAAGAATTTCAAAGCAGTCTCTAACTTCTATGTGCAGTGCAGTCTCTACAGGGATGGACTGTGCTCATCAAACAGCAATTCGCACATCAGTGGAAGAAGAAGGGATATAATTTAGCCAAGCTTTCCAGAACAGATCATTGTCTGAAGTGATCAGGGATCTTTCACTGTACATGACAAAACTCACCTCTGGGAAAGATTTTTTCCCCCCAAGGTTTCAATAGGTGAACAGCCATATAGTACACACTTTGTAGTTATGATGTATGAAAGACCAAGCTAAGTCAACCCTGCTGACACTTGAAAAGGTTCCTGGAAATACTCTAAGCATGAAATTATCTGCTTTCCCCCTCCCCCACCTCCTGGGTTTGAAATTAGTGGAAGTTTTACCTCTTGGCTTCAGCACTTCATCATCCCAAACCTTTAGCTAGTATATATGACTCCATATATGCAACACAACCATGCAGGAGAACCTTGGGGAGGATTGAGAAACTTTTTCTTCCCCTAATCTACTCTATGCAGTTAATCCAATGAAAGATATTGCCCAAAGAAATGCTGGGTTAGGACAGCACTTTCCCCTATATCTGTTATTGAATTGCTGTTAATCATAAGTGATCTACATCTTGTGCAACAACTGGACACCAGACACTGGGCCACTGTTTTGGCAACATGTTTTTTTGCTCTGGGACTCTAGCTTGACAGGTAGAAAACATCAAAGAAAGTCCAGACAGACTATAGACAGACATATATAGAACAATTCTTGTTCTGCCTTTTTGGAAGCACTTCTTTGCAGTGTTTCAGTAGCATATCATTATACAGCTGCCTCCCAGTGATAGCATCACTGTGAAGCACTTCAGAGTTATCCCTGTTTCACTAAGGGCCATTTTATAGAGTTCTGACTAATTTATAGCACTATGACACAGTCATCTATCTGATCAATATCTATAGTGCCTTTAAGTTGTTTAAAGTGCTGTAAATATTACAGCTGTCCATGCTTCAAGTTATACAACAGGCAGCCTTTGTACACGAGGAGAGGTGTGCAAGCCTTTCCAAAGGGAATTTGAATTTCCACCTTCATAGACAGCTCTTTGAGCTATGTATGTTATTTCACCACTGCAAGATATTTCCAGCTGCCTGTCAATCAGATTCCTTCCAGCAACTTTTGCCGTAGTTTAATATTTTGGGCTGATTGGAAGCTGATTTGGTTCACATTGGGTGCATCTACATGGGAAGCTAATGTCACAGTAGGGTAAATCTATTGCACATTAGCATGGCTGGCAAAAAC